GGGGGGGGAATGAGAGAAGAGACAGAGAGAGCCTCCTTGAGTCGGATTGACAGTCGCGCGCCCAGTTGCCATGCAGCCAATATCCGCGTTTACAGCATGTACACGCACGTTGATACTGGACCTTGGAGCGAAAAACGAGAGTCGTGGACGCTGAACCTCGGACAGGATGGCTTCGGGGCTGGGCGGAGAGGAAATCGACTTTTGTTGCAGCCGTCGACGGCATCAATAGAAGGATCTAGCCAGTCTTGCCTGCTCCAGGCCCCCCTCCAGGCGCCCCCCAACTGGGCTAGGCGTCGGTCCAGATACCCATTGTCCACCCAGCCTCCAGAGCGCCCTGAGCCAACCTGAGCCAATGCCCAACGCCGCCACCAACCCGCAGGCGCAGGGAACCCTCCTTCCCGCCAGACCCGTCATCTGGTATCTGCACCAGCCCTTGACGAGCCCCGGGAGACTGGATAACGGGACGTCGGACGTCGGACGTCGGACACCAGACACACATGCACGGTCGCAGCTGGGTCGGGGTGGGCGGGCGCTTGGCATGATTGATGGCTCCCAGCCTGGAGTGCAGAGCGAGAGCGAGGGCGAGGGCAGAGCAATGCGAGCACGCAGCGCGGTGCGTTGCAGCGCATGCCATGCGCAGACGCGGGTGCAGGCGCAGGTGCCTGTCAGACCGTTGCCGGGGCGTGAATCACAGTTCATCTGGACCAGCATCAAATCAGGCGTTTGCGCCGGGGCGGCGTTGCAGCGTTGCAGCGCCGCACCGTTCATCCGTTCGATTCACGTCGTGCCAAACCGGTCTGGGTCTGGTCAAGAAAAAGCGTTGCCGACTGATCCAAAGCCGGCTGCCAGCCAACGCCAGCCAGCCCCAGCCCCATTCATGTCTGCGGCAGGTCAACTGGCAGGCGTTCTGATGTTCCACGTCCACCGCTGCCCGAGGCCCTAGGCCCTAGGCGCCGTCCCGGGGCGCCAGGCGGCCCCTACGTACAGCTATCTAGCGCACGTACGGAGTATAGCGCGTACCTTCTCCCCAAGTGTACTTGGGAAAGGCCGCCTCTGCTCCGTTCTCCGTCCGTGCTCTGCATGCACATACTACATAGTACACGGTAACTGTCTGCATTCCGTCGAGCGTCGCTCGCCCGAGTACAGAGTGCCATGCCAGGCAGGCAGGTTGGGTGGGCAGATGCAATGCCGAGTGCCTCGCCAATAAAAGTTGCGCCAGAACACCCCGGTAGAGAGCATCAGCCGAGTCTCCGTACAGTGCCGGCTGCCGCGGCGTTGGCGTGGCCCTCGCGGCCGCATGCCGCATGGCAAGATAAGCCAGCGCCTTGATTCCGCACAATGGAGAGAGGCTCGACGGGATGGACAGCTGGACCGCTCCGTACGGGAACCGACCAAGTCACTGATGAGTGGGAGAGCGACGGCGACATGGCATGGGCGTGCCCAGCCAGATCTCTCACGTCCCGGCTCCATGTTCCCATGCCCGCGCCCCACACTCATGTCATGCCCCACACCCTCTTGGCTGAAGCCAAGAGGCTCGAGGCTTGGGGGTGGGAAGGGTCTTTGATTCTTGATATCTGAGGGTGTGCTGTCTCTGGAGTGTGGTGTGCTCGGCACAGCATCTGGTTGGTGTGGGCAATCGATCAATATGGATCAGCGCAGCAATCAATGGCATGTTGCACGGAATAAACTTCCCATACAGTAAAGCAGGTTTATAACGGTCCCCCCCTATAGCGATTCGGCACACACGCCTAGGCGTGAAGTACCTTTCCTATATGTTATACATATAAAAGTAACTTCTAACCTACAGCGATTTTTCTTATAAATATTGCTTATTAATATATATAAGTTTATAATTACACACTACCTTACCCCCTCTAAAATCCCTTATCAGGCCTTATTAGGCCTTATCAGCCTTATCTTACTAACAAAAGTGGGGTTTTCCTAAAAGAGTAGTTGCATCTTAACGATATAATCCCTGTAGTCGGGTTATAACGATGAAAATTTGCTCACGAAGGTTATCGTTATAGACCTGGTTTACTGTATTACGTGCGGTTGCTCACTCCCTCCCAGGAAACCAACACGATCAACGTGGACCCGGCCGACCCAGTTGACCGGTGCTTTGCGCTTGTACATGATGTGCCGTGGCATTGTTGTAACGCAGAGTGCATGGCGCGGCGTACAGAGCGACTCCCAGGTACTGTACGGTACCCAAGTACCCAAGTACTTGAGCACTTGATAGGTACCTACCTGTAAGTACCTAGGTACTTAGTATCTTGGTGCTGCCTGGTTGCGTACTTTAACTCACTCAAGTTAAGTACTCAGGCAGTGTGTCTACAGCAGTAAAAGCACAGTCTACTTGTTGGCCAGCGAGTCCCGCCTACCTGCCTGGTTGCCTCGCAACATACTTCGGTACATGATTGCGACTCCGTAGCCTCGAGGCGGCCGACGTGACTGACCACGACCGGCCAGGCGGATGGATTCCAGTTCCCAGTTCTGGGGCACCGGAAGACTGGGGCTGCGCCGATATCGTCAGGGTTCAGCACCAATACGCTGGAATCGCCATCAGCGTCGAACCGTTTGCGTGGTTTTGGTTTGGTCGCCGACTCCCACTTGCTCGGTGCAGCTCCGCTCCGCTGCTTACCAAGGTCTCTGTACCGAGATTCTGCCAGGACGCCATCGATACTTGCCGAGTGGCGGCAGAAATGGAGCCTGGAGTACGGGGTACTCCGTGCATACAAAGTGAGGGTACAGAGTACCGGCCACGAGGCGCCCATTGCACTCAGCCAAGCAGCGCAAAATCTCTCTCATCTCATGCCA